TGCAGACATACATATAATTTAAGGTAATAAAAACACTAATAATAAAGAGAATAGACAATAAGTTATAAATAACAATATAGTAATAAAATATAGAGAAAAAAAATGTCACTAGACAGAAATGTGAATGTGCATATGTGCTATTTACAGATGAAAGTTTTGATGAGTTATTTACAGATGTACAGTCCTGAGGTGTGTTATGTGTTGTTCAGGTGGGATATGGCCTGGGGGAAAACTGTTCTTGTGTCTGGCCTTTAATCAATTGAATGTGTCCTTTTAATCAATTTAAAATCAGTCAAAACTTACTAACTCCAACCTTCTGAAATGTAGTATGCAAGTTACAAAAAAGTACATTTTTTATGTTGAAAAAATGAATTTTGATTGTGACTGTCAGAATTCTACTTACTTTTTCACAGAACACGCCTATTCTCTCACACGCACATACAAACACCTTGCTGACTCTGCAACCATGTCCTTGAACTTTTTTTTTTTTACCCTCTAATTCTGTTGTGCCCTTCCTCTTTTATTTGTTGGCGCTCTCTCTATCCTCATACTGTCTCAGCAGCCACCTGTGCTTCCTACAACTTCTCCTTCCTCAGTCCTCAGGGCCTCAACTTCTCCTCTCAAAGCTCTGCTCCCTTCTGGTCAGGTACTGTGCTTCTTGCTTGTTCGTGCTCTTGCATCATCCATGCTGCCTTCCCAAATTCCTCTTCACTTTCAGCCCTTCATCTTCCCATCAACATGTCTTCCTGGTTGTGTTTTCATCAGTCTCGTTGTTGCTCCATTAGTGCTTTAAAATCATAAAGTTCTTGTGAAAATAACCCATTAGTAGACCAACATTAGTCACAAGCTTTCATTCATTTACATCTAGCTCACAATATCATGAAGTGTCAATAAATCTGTTGTTTAAGCATTTAATGGGACTCGTCATCATTTTGCATGCACTAACCTTGGGATGTTGCTGGCCTTGAACAGTATTCACACCCAGGGTAGTCAGCACAGCTGTGGCGCGATACAACTTTGCTGCTCGAGACATGAGAGAGCTGTCCCTGCGAGAAGGGGATATCGTCAAGATCTACAGCAAGATTGGTGGAGACCAAGGCTGGTGGAAAGGAGAGGCCAACGGCAGGGTAATAAAGCAAGCAAATGATCTGAAATTAAGCTTCAAATATTAAAATATGAGCAATATATTCCATTATTTTCCATTCAGATTGGATGGTTTCCCTCGACGTACGTCGATGAGGAGGGGGTGCAGTGATACTCTGGGGTCACAGGTCATCCAATAAAATCCACAGCCCTCTGAGAGGACTCTTTGGTTTCCATGGCAACATCTCATGGAAGACTTTTCGCTGGAAACATATTTTACAATGAATATTTGTACTTCTGTCTCCTTTCGTATGCACGTACGTCGATGAGGAGGGGGTGCAGTGATACTCTGGGGTCACAGATCATCCAATAAAATCCACAGCCCTCTGAGAGAACTCTTTGGTTTCCATGGCAAGATCTCATGGAAGACTTTTCGCTGGAAACATATTTTACAATGAATATTTGTACTTCTGTCTCCTTTCGTATGC